GTCATAATTTCACTTTAGCTCTATATTATGCTGTATTGTTATAAAAAGACTTTCTCGCAAAACCAACAAGAGAGCATTTCCAAACATACAAAGTATTGTAAAAGTACAAACCGAAATGATTTCTGTATTGTTACCATTTCCACCTGATCCTTATGAGCTCCCAGTGGAGAAGGCAGGGCAGATCTCATTCTACTTTACGACTGAGAAGACGAGCCATTTCGGCAGAGTGGTAGTTTCTGTGTCAAATGTGCACAGAGGTATTGTGGGAACACAGCAGGGGGCATCTGATCTAGCAGGGGCTGGGGAGCGCTGGTGGTCAAGGAAGGCTTTCCAGAAGGCGTGTGAGTTGGGGGCTGAGTGAAGACCTGCTCTTTCCAGCCAGTAGGATGGCAGGGAGCGAGCCTGCGGAGGGCGTCAGGTGGAGAATGGGTGTCTGTTAGCACGGCCGTTAGAATTGAGTCCAAAAGGAAACCAGGATTTCCTACTGGACAGCCCTCAGTTCTCCGGAGGAGGAAATGGGTTAGGATGTCTCTTCCCCTAATCCCTCACTTGTGTGTATCTTGGTCTCTTTGCCAGAGTGGGCAGAAAGGCCCAACCCTGTTGCTTTTGCAACATGAAGCCTCCCTTCCCTCCCTGTGTCTGTGCGTGTGAACCCTGGAGGCCTGCTGAGGGACTCTTTTCTGTGAAAATGGTAGAAAGAGAAAAAGGGCAAGAGCATCACATTATGGAGACCCCGGAAGCTCTGGAGGTGAAGGCTCATTGATTCTGTCTGATTCAAGGCCTGAGAAGAACGGCCTGGAGGGCCACTCAGTGTCGTCACCCATGACGCTCTCGTAACTCTTCCGTACGAAGAGACGTACTTGGGCCACTCTTGCCAGTTAGCCACTTGGGAAATACCATGGAAGACTCACTTTTTTCACCCAGAAGCCCTTCTAGGGAGAATTTCTTTAGGAGAAATTCGCTGAAATCAAGCCCATCAGACTCACATGCTGATGATGTAACTCGAGGCGGCTCACTCCTGGACACACGTGACCCATTCTGAAGATTATCTGTCATGTCCATATAGGGTATGGCTCTGCCTCGGACCGCAGCTCCTCCCCTACTTCCCTTCCTCCCCCAGCTCCATATTTAGGCATCTTCCAAGGCTCCTCCTGTCCTCAAGGCTTATCATCCATCTTTACTGCCGCACAGTAATGCAATGGTTTATGTTTTGTATTCACTGCAGCAGGTACTTTGGCTTCAGTTTTAATAAAACTATCAAGAACTACTTTACAGTTTATGAAACTGAGGCCCTGAAAGCTGACTTGATGAGCCACTTGGGGTCAGAACTGGCTGGCACTGAGGGTCACTTGATTGAACAGAGATGTTTTCACCTTTCTGACTCGCTGGGTGGCAAAGCTTAGACAGGAATCTCTCTCTTTCTCTCTCTCTCTTTTTGTAGCTATGTCTGGGTGTGTTTCACCCTTTGTTGGAGAAACCTCTTTTGTGCTACTTTAAATTCCCTACTTAGCGTTAATAACTGTTTATCATTATATTTAGTAATTGTTATTTCAGAATATTATTAATAGGGACTACTTACTGAGTGTTTACTATATACATACAGTATGTTTATATTATGCACCTGCTAAGAATTTTGCACTCTAGGCCAGGCACAGTGGCTCATGCCTGTAATCCCAGCACTTTGGGAGGCTGAGGCAGGCAGATCACTTGAGCCCAGGAGTTTGAGAGCAGCCTGGCCAGCATGGTGAAACCCCGTCTCCACTAAAAATACAAAAATTAGCCAGGCACGATAGTGGGCATCTGTAATCACAGCTACTCAGAAGGTTGCAGCAGCAGAATCACTTGAACCCAGGAGGCGGAGGTTGCAGTGAGCCGAGATCACACCACTGCACGCCAGCCTGAGCGACAGAGCGAGACTCAGGTCTCCAAAAAAAAAAAAAAAAAAAAAGAATTTTGCGCTCTAAGCTTTAAACACACTTAAATACTCTCAACAACCTGTGATGCAGATATAATATTATTACACTGATTTTACAGAGGAGGAAACTGAGGCTTAAGGAGGTTAGAAAATCTTCCAAGTTCGTCACATAGGTAGTCGATTGGGCAGCTCGGATTCAATGCCAGGTTTACCTGACTTTAAAGCCCATGACCTTAACAATTATGCCTTATTAATTTCCTTTTGCAGATATTCACTCAGGAAATTTGGCTTTAGCTCAGTCAGTTTATTGGAGAGTTTATTTAAATAACCGAAAGGACTGGGTGTGGTGACTCATGCCTATAATTCCAACACTTTGGGAGGCTGAGGCGAGAGTATCACTTGAGCCCAGGAGTTCGGGACCAGACTCAGCAACATAGTGAGACCTTGTCTCTATACAAACTAAACAAACGTAGCCGATCACAGTGGTGAGTGCTCGTAGTCCTAGCTACTTGGGAGGCTGAGCTGGGAAGATCACTTGAGCCTGGGAGGTGGAGGCTGCAGTGAGCCACCATCGTACTCTGTCTCCAGCATGGGAGATAGAGCAAGACTGTCTCAAAAAATAAATAAAGGTGGCCAGTGGTTGGGTATGGTGACTCATGCCTGTAATCCCAGCACTTTGGGAGGCCTAGGCGGGTGGATCATTTGAGGTCAGGAGTTCAAGACCAACCTTGGCAACATGGTGAAACCCCGTCTGTACTAAAAATACAAAAATTAGCTGGGTGTGATGGTGCATGCCTGTAGTCCCAGCTACTCAGGAGACTGAGGCATAAGAATTGCTTGAACCTGAGAGGCGGAGGCAGTGAACTGAGATCGAGCCACTGCACTCTAGCCTGGGCAACAGAGCAAAACTCCATTTCAAAAAACTAAAATTAAGATAAATAAATAAATAAATGCCTGAAGCGTGTACATTTTTCTTAATTCTGGCCCTGCTACACTGGAGTCAAATAAAACTTAAGGCCAAAATAAATAAATAAATAAATAAAATATGGAGGAAATAGGCAAATAATAATAATAATAAATAATAGCACAATATTTGATATTTAAATGCTCATTTAAATTCTCAAAAATGAAATATTAAAACACTCAACACAATAATTGTGCTCCAAAAAAAACCAAAAAACTTAAGGCCAGGCGTGGTGGCTCATGCCTGTAATCCCAGCACTTTGGGAGGCTGAGGTGGGAGGATCACTTGAACTCCGGAGTTTGAGACCAGCCTGAGCAATATAATGAGACCCCCAACTCCATTTATAAAAAGTAAGATAATTAAATTAAATTTAAAAAATATACAAATATCTTAAGAGTTCTTGGCTCTGGACTAAGTCACAAATGCATATTTTTAAGTTGCCACTTGGTCTAAGGATCTAATGTCTAACTAAAGCCTATGGAGCCCTCAAGGAGTCCTTCCTCAAAGGTCTAGTCTCAAATGGGGTCCATGACCATAGTGTGTGACAGTAACCTGGTGTCAGTCTGGAGAAAGAGTCCAGGTAAACATTTGGCAAAGTGGCCCCTCCACTACGGACATTCAGTATTTGGTGTTTCAGATAGTAGTGAAATGGATAACTTGATGGCTTCCTGTAATTCCCAGATGCCAGGCTTTGTGCTAAATCAGACTCTTCACATTCTGAATCCTTACAATGATCACGTGAAGAAAGTCCTTTTCTTATTTTCATTTCTATGAGAAAATCAAGGTTCAGAGAGGTTAAGTAATTTGGCCAAGGTCACCTGGCTTACACGTGAATTTTTAAATAAAATATATTTAAAATATATTTAAATGAATATATTCACATATCCATTAAAAACATGAATATGTGAATATCATGTGAATTATTTATTTGGCTAACTCATTTGCAAAGGCTGTTAGGTATAATTAAACAACAGAGACCGTGGGTTGACAAGGATAAAAATGTCTTGGCTGCCGGGCATGGTGGCTCACGCCTGTAATCCCAACACTTTGGGAGGCTGAGACAGGAGGATCTTTGAGGCCAGGAGTTCATGACCAGCCTGGGCAACATAGTGAGACTGTATCTCTACAAAGAAAGCAAGAAATTAGCCAGGTGTGGTGGCACACACATGTAGTCCCAGCTACTCAGGAGGCTGAGGTGGGAGGATCACCTGAGCCCAGGAGGTCCAGGCTGCAGTGAGCCGTGATGACACCACTGCACTCCAGCCTGGGCAACAGAGTGAGATCCTGTCTCCGAAAAAAGAAAAAGAAAAAGAAAAAAAAAATGTTTTGGAAAGGAATGCCAGGATTTAGAGAAGTGACTTAAAAATTATGTCTTAAATCAGACTTGTAGGTTTGCTTTGTATTGCCTTGCATAACACATGTCAGGAAGATCGCCAAGGAGGGGAGTTTATAAGCCCAGATCGCAGTAATAACCTTTACTCTGAATTTTGGTCCGAAAGACTTTTCCTTTGTCTGGAGCGAGGCTGGCTTTGTGATATCGTGCCGCAGCAGACCCGACAGTGTCTCCAAGGCAGAGCTCGTTGCCTGGAGTTTTCCCACTGCACTGAACGAGAATTTATTTGGCCTTTCTTGAAATTCAGATTGTTCCATTTATGCAGTCCTGTTTAAGTGACAGGCACTGAATATGGTTGCTTTCAGGCAAGATATTTTGTTTGACTAGGGGCCTAGCGGAGTTTGGGATACACAGATGGCCATCCAAAAATGTTAAAAGAAAGAAATAACTTGATCCTCACAGCATCTCTGAGAAGTGGTTCCTAAATTTATCACAATCTTGCAGATGTGTAAGCTGAGGCGTGGAGTTCAAGCAGTGGGCTCAAAGCCATGTGTAGGTGACAGTGCCTGATTTCAGATGCAGATAACTCTAAGGCCAGTCTGCTGCATCTCTTACCAGTTTTTGGAAAAACCTCAAGGGAAAAACCACAGCAAATTTTTAGAGTTCTAGTAATTTCTTTTCCCCTATTACAACACATATTCCCATAAACCAAGGACTGTGTGATTAGTCAATAAACAAAAAGAAATGCATAAAGTATCTGTCACTCATAACATTCTTGTTTCTTGCAGTTTCCAAGGTGGCTAGATCCATCAGAAGCTGAAGCCGTGGAGAACGCTCTCAGGGGCCCTTGTCACTTCTTGGAGTAGAAGCCGACAGAGACCTGTTTGGAAACGTCTCCTTCACACACCAGGTTGCTACCGAGGTCTTTTTCATGTTGCAGTCAGAGCAGTTGCTTGTGTTTTTTAGCGCTTGAATGATTTTAGAGATAAAGTCAGCTTCTGCTTCTTGACCGGGAGGCGTTGTGTGTGTGTGTGTGTGTGCGCGCGTGTGTTGGGCGAAGACAGATCTAAGCTCTCCCTGAGAGGGGAAGAGTAGATTGCACAAGTGGAGTTGGTTGGCTATACAGAAATTGCCCCACATTTAATCTGTTTGCCAATGAGGAAGCCCCTTATCTTCAAAAAAGGCAAGAAAGAAAGACTTCATTTTCCCCCTTCTCTTTCTGTTCCAGTTGAAGACTAGGCTTTGGAGGTTTTCAAAGTAGACGGTGCTTGGATGGGCGGCGAGAAGTAACATTCTGCAAATCGCCGGCAGAGGTCCTGAGGACACAGACCTACCTAGCTTGCCTTCCCCTTGCTGAATGGCGTGTCCTGCAGCCGCCCACTGAGGGCTCTCGTCCCTGGGATTCTGGACTTGCGAGTAGGACAGCAGGCTGGGAAGATGCTGAGTTCCATCAAGTGCGTGTTGGTGGGCGACTCTGCTGTGGGGAAAACCTCTCTGTTGGTGCGCTTCACCTCTGAGACCTTCCCGGAGGCCTACAAGCCCACAGTGTACGAGAACACGGGAGTGGACGTCTTCATGGATGGCATCCAGATCAGCCTGGGCCTCTGGGACACAGCCGGCAATGATGCCTTCAGAAGCATCCGGCCCCTGTCCTACCAGCAGGCAGACGTGGTGCTGATGTGCTACTCTGTGGCCAACCATAACTCATTCCTGAACTTGAAGAACAAGTGGATTGGTGAAATCAGGAGCAACTTGCCCTGTACCCCTGTGCTGGTGGTGGCCACCCAGACTGACCAGCGGGAGATGGGGCCCCACAGGGCCTCCTGCATCAATGCCATGGAAGGGAAGAAACTGGCCCAGGATGTCAGAGCCAAGGGTTACCTGGAGTGCTCAGCCCTTAGCAACCGGGGGGTACAGCAGGTGTTTGAGTGCGCAGTCCGAACTGCCGTCAACCAGGCCAGGAGACGAAACAGAAGGAGACTCTTCTCCATCAATGAGTGCAAGATCTTCTAAACCCCAAGAGACTTCGCACAACACTTATGTATGTGCCCCAAAGACTAATGGGGAGAGGGAGGGCCGGGAAGCCAGGAAAGCTTGGTGTTTTCTCTGGGTACTCCCCAAGCAGTGTCTCCTTTCGGATACAGTTATTGATGAGGCTTGGCCACTGGATGTTTTCACTAACTACACTCTACAAGTGAACTCCTTGCCCAGGCCAGTCAGAAAATCCCTTGGGGAACTGTAATGACTATTCCATTTTTGATTAAAATAGTGAAATAGTCTCCATAATTTTGGACGATGAAGTGAGTTTTTCAAAGAATTCCGTATTTAAAGACACATTTTATTTAACTAATAACAAAATGGATTGCTTTTGTATATATTTAGTTTTCACACTTGGAAAATCTTTTGCTACATCCTCGAAAACATAAACTCCTGTGTGAGTGAAATACCTGTACGGAGCTCTGCCATATGTTTGTAGTGTTATTATTTTCACCTCAAGTAGAAAGTCTGTTGAAACCACTTGGCTGCTGGATTTAAATGGGTAATCAAATTTAAAAATGACCATAAATGAATCTTTGCAATTTATTTTCTACCTATGTGTTATTCAGAGTTGGATATAAAATACAGTTCCATAGGATATCCTAATACTGCCTAATGATTTTAAAGTTATTGCTGTATTTTTCTGAAATGATAAAACATCATTCATTTATTTACAATATTGTCTTTATTTACAATATTGTCTTTCACCCAACTCCAGTTATGCACTAAATATTCTCCTCTCATTCACCATGACTGATTGAAACACCATCTTTCAGGTAGAGAATCAGACTGCTCCAAGCAATAGCAACAGAACTTGAAACAGAAGCGAGAGAGTGTCACTTTCACTTCTGGTAGGGTGGTTCCCAGGTGACTGCACGTCCTGTGAAAGACAGTGGGCTCAAAGTTCTGTTAACTTGACAAATTTCTTATACATTTGTCTAAACTGAGCTGTTGTGGCAACATAATTTATGAATTGTAGGATCTAATTAGGATTATTGGGAGGGTATCTACATATATATGTGTATGTAAGGGAAAAGGTAGAATTTACAGCCTTCAAAAAAGAAAAATCAAATTCCAAACCCAGGAAAAAGAAAGCTCTATAGCAACTGCTCAGATAACAGAAAGTTATCAGGGGAAATACTGAATAAATAGATACACACATACTCGCACACAACCTGCTCTCACACACACAACTCAAACCCCATTCTATCGAATAGTTTAAAAGCAATGGTGTTGCTCATCTGTTAAAGTTGAGAATAGAGGACTATATAACTTAAGGTAGAAATTGCAAAGGCTGGGCTGGGTGCGGTGGCTCATGCCTATAATCCCAGCACTTTGGGAGGCTGAGGCGGGTGGATCATGAGGTCAGGAGTTCGAGACCAGCCTGGCCAACATGGTGAAACCCCATCTCTACTAAATATACAAAAATTAGCTGGGTGTGGTGGCACATGCCTGTAGTTCTAGCTACCTGGGAGACTGAGGCAGAAGAATTGCCTGAACCCGGGAGGAGGAGGTTGCAGTGAGCCAAGATTGTGCCACTACACTCCAGCCTGGGCAACAGAGGGAGACTCCATCTCAAAGAAAAGAAAGAAAGAAAGAAAGAAATTGCAAAGGCTGGCGCCTAGATAGATCAATCAATTACTGCTCTAATCAAAACTTAGAAACACTCTGAACCACCTTTATGAGGGTACATCATTGTTATGGGGTAATGTGACTATTACACACAAAAGGTAAGGTGGCTGGCATAAATGACTTTGATTAGAGTTATGTTGACATAGCCAAACCAGTTTCTCTGTTCCCTTGTGTGGTCAATTCCTTACAACCATAATCAATATCAAAAACCAAATGTGTGCTCATTCACACATTGCTTTCTCCTTCTCTCTCTCCTCCTATCCACAGCCAGTAAAAGGCCTGAGACTGGGGTCTTAATCTCCGGTGGGAGGATTGCCTCAGTTCCCTGGGGCTGACACAGTTGCCTTCACCCAGACTTCTCAGCACTCCAGGCCGTGGCTTGTACTCACCTGTGAGTCACCTGCCTCCCTTGATTCGAGAGCCCTGTCTCTAGTTCTCAGCTCAGGGCGGGGAGGGGGGGCTTGAAAGATGACGGGGCAGGGGGCTTGAAAGATGACCGAGCAGGGGAGGGGAAGGGATCTCATATCCTCTGATATCCCTGGGATTCTCTTCTCTCTCAACACACAGTCTTAAATCATGAAATGCAGGTGTTCAGGACCAGCCTTTGTGGTGAGAGGTATTTAACATGTCAGTGGGAAGGAATTTCTTTTTTTTTTTTTTTTGAGATGGAGTCTCACTCTGTCGCCCAGGCTGGAGTGCAGTGGCCGGATCTCAGCTCACTGCAAGCTCCGCCTCCCGGGTTCCCGCCATTCTCCTGCCTCAGCCTCCCGAGTAGCTGGGACTACAGGCGCCCGCCACCTCGCCCGGCTAATTTTTTTGTATTTTTTAGTAGAGACGGGGTTTCACCGTGTTAGCCAGGATGGTCTCGATCTGCTGACCTCGTGATCCACCCGTCTCGGCCTCCCAAAGTGCTGGGATTACAGGTTTGAGCCACCGCGCCCGGCCAGGAATTTCTATTCACTGCAGTGGGCTGTCCCCAAGGCTTTTCTTTTTCTCTTGTTGAAGAGAGACAGGGGTGGGTATCTGAAAGTGGGAAGGGCCACCATACATGATCCTAAGGAAGGGAAGAGGAGGTGGTTCCACGGTGGCAGCAGAGCAGGAAGGGAAGGCCAGAGATGGCACAGTCAAATGGCTTTGCTGTCACGTGGCCAAGGACACACAGGTGAGACCTCCACCTGTTGGCAGGAGCCAAACTTCACAGCTCCCTCTGGGAAGCCTCACACCTGAGGCCAGGAATCTATGTGTAAACCCTTTCCAGTGGCGGAAGCTGGCAGAAATGGAGCCAATAAGTGTCTTTCTTCCTGCTAGACTGCTGTTCTTGAAGGCAGCACTGCCTCCTGGTCTCCTCAGTGTCCCCAGGGCTCAGCACAGGGAAGGCAATGGAGCTAAAGTTGTGTTGAACTAAACTGGAAAGAAAGACAGTAATTGGGCTTCTGTGCCGCGCAGTGGTTACAGAAAGGAAGCAGACCCTCACTAGCCTTGCAGGGGTAAGAAGAAAAACAGGTCATCTGGGTAGAATCCGTGTGTTGTGTGTTCTACATGAGCACATACTTACTTTTGCCTGCCTAGATGCAGACACAGGTTTCTTATACTTCAAAATTTGTGGTACCTTTCTGTAAACTATTGCATATCGATTCTTAACTATTCCAAGTAGCAACATTAAATATGTTCTTGATGACATTAAAGAGTTAATTCATGGTCGGGTAATTCATTCTTGCCTCTGTCAGTCTGGGCTGCTATAGTGGAAAACCATAGACTAGGGGGACTCAACAACAGAAATTTATCTCTCACAGTTCTGGAGGCTGGGGAGTCCAAGGCCAGGGACAGCATGGTTGGGTTCTGGTGAGACCCCTCTGCCTGGTTTGCAATGGCTGTCTTCTTGCTGTGTTCTCACATGGTAGAGCACGAGATCATCTTTCTGGTGTTTCATCTTCTAAGGACACTAATCCCATTCATGAGGGCTCAACCCTCCTGATCTAATACTTCCCAAAGTCCTCACCTTCAAATGCCATCACATTGGGGATTAGGCCTCAACGTTTCGAGATTTGTGGGGACACAAACATTCCATCCATAGCAATTCTATTCTGTCCTACTTTACACTGACTAGTTAACTGGGCAGCAGAATCCAGTGTGGTAACAAGAAATCTAGAAGCATCCTGATTAAGTTTGTTCGGTGCTTCAGATGCGCTGTGCCAGCCACCGTGTGACGCACTCTTTTACCACATGTGTGTAGGCCCACATTATACTGAGTCCCATCTTACATGAGGAAACTGAGGCTCAGCATGTTGATATGACAAGGCCAAGCCCATGCAGCAGGTGAGTGGCTGCCCCAGGAGTCTCAAGTAGGTCTGTGTGACTCCAAAGCTCTGCTCAAAACCACCCTGCCCCACTTCCTCCCAGAGCAGCTTGACTGAATGACTTCGCCACATCCGACCTCATGTAGCCTGCAGCCCCGCCCCCATCAGTCAAGTAGCCTGTGTTTTAAAAAATATATTTTTAAATGAAATATTCCAGGTCTGACCTTTGTCCTCCCCTTTTCTTTCTGGCAATGAGAATGGGACCCACCTATATCACACAACACCATCATCATTTGCAAAGGTCTCCATTCCAACTCTTGGTATTTAAAGCATGATTCCAAAGGCTGATTGCATGTAAATTGGCAGAGATGAAATACACCATGATTTAATGTTATAAAAAGCTTGGGAAATATTCTGTTTTTCTTTTTTTATTAAAAACTTTTTTTGAGATAGGGTTTTGCTCTGACACCCACAGTGGAGTGTAGTGGTGTGATCATGGCTCACTGCAGCCTCAACTTCTAGAGCTCAAGCGATCCTCCCACCTCAGCCTCCCAAGTAACTGGGACCACGGGTGCACGCCACCACACTTGGCTAATTTTAAAATTTATTGTAGAGACGGGGTCTTGCTATGTTGCCCAGACTGGTATTGAACTCCTGGGCTCAAGCGATCTTCTCACCTTGGCCTCCCAGAGTGCTAAGATTACAGGTGTGGGCCACTGTGCCCAGCCAGTATTCTCCTTCTCTTCGTTTTTTTGTTGGTTGGTTGGTTGGTGTTTTTGTTTTTTTGAGATGGAGTTTTGCTCTTGTTGCCCAGGCTGGAGTGCAATGGTGCAATCTCGACGCACTGCAACCTCTGCCTCCTGGGTTCAAGTGATTCTCCTGCCTCAGTTTCCCAAGTAGCTGAGATTACAGGCATGTTCCACCATGCCTGGCTAATTTTGTATTTTTAGTAGAAACGGAGTTTCACCATGTTGGTCAGGCTGGTCTTGAACTCCTGACCTCAGGTGATCCACCCACCTCGGCCTCCCAAAGTGTTGAGATTACAGGCATGAGCCATGGTGCCTGGCCAATATTCTCTTTTTCTTATCTCACTTTTCCACCCCTCAGGTTTCAGGTATTTCCTTTGAATAAGGGAGTGACAGGGAAGAGGAGAGTCTGCCTCTTTTCTTTCAAGGATTTGGTACTTAGGAGGGGCCCTTTACGCAGAATGAGATGTGATGGAAGGACTCACTTTGGCGCATCTGTAGAGTGACATGACAGAGGGGACGCGGCTCTGTGAGTGCTCGGCCCCAGTGCGAGAAAGCAATGCTTACAAGGTGAGTGGGATCAGTACAACTCAATAGTAGGAACCTATTTTCTTGAGACTGTATCTGTCCGGATAAAGCAAAGAAACATAATCAATGGCTAAGATGTCAAGCAGGTTTTCACAGGAAATGATAAGCTCAAAAATTATTTGTGCTATAAGTTCATAAAAAGTTATTGATTAAACCTAAAGTCTACATTAACTTTTTGATAGATTCTAAAATGCATCCTGACCTGGAACTCAATATTAATAGTAGATAGAAAGCCATGATGAAGGAGTGGAGAGACCATACAATTGTGATGCATTTTGGGGTCAGAAAATCTGGGTTGTGTGTCTTTCAGCCTTAGTGTCCCTCTCTTAAAGCAGAGATACGAATTCCTAGGATACTCTATAAATATTGGTACAATAATGATTGTGGACCAGGCTCGGTGGCT